CCTTAAAAGACCATTGTTCTGCTCTCCATGTGCCATCTGTGTTTCCCCGGGCCTTGCACAGGCTGCTGCCATGGTCACATGACCTCGCGCTGGCTGGTGGTGCCAGGTCTGGCGGGGCTGCAGCGGAGGATCCGAGAGCCTCTCAAACGACCCCAACTCACCGCGCCCCCCGCCCCCCCCTCCTCTCGGACGTAAAATTTACGGAAACGCTTTCAAATGCGTCACAGCCCTCTCGAGGAGCGTAGGTCACCCACGCGTTCAAGCCCGCGTCCACTCCAAACTGACGCGCGGTGCCTCGTCTGAAGGCTTGCGAGATCTTCTGGCGGTCCCGGAAAACCGAACGCCCGCGGAGGGGTGGAAAACCCCCCCGTGGCATTTCCCAGATCGCGGCGCGGAGCGGGCGACGCGGGTGGGGACCGCGCCGAGTCGGGGGGGCCGCGTGGCACGGCTCCGTCTCGGGTGCTACGCCTGCCCTGGCCCTCCCCACGCCGCACCGCGGCGGTCGACCGCAGCTCGGACGCGGCTCCAGATGGATCCGTGTTCAGTCGCAGCGGGCGGCGTGGTGCAGGAATCCAAAAAATGCTGAAGTCGCCATCAGACTTCCAATAACACTGTCCGCTTGCCAGTAACGGACGGGGGGGGGGGGGGGAGGTTGATGGTGCGGCTTGAACCGGCGATGGGAGGCGATTGCTGAGAGATATTACTTTTCTGGGGTCTTTTCTATTCGTTTTTTTTTTTGTCAACATGCAACAGTAACCCGAGCTGAGCAGAGCCTGGAGATTTCATGAATATAAAACTCCACGCTGGGAACCTTATCAGGAGTCTGGGCAAAAAGTTACGAGTGACCTCGCCATGCGTGGATTCTTCAATTCTTATTAAGTCATGCCCGCACTGCCGGGTCACTCCACAGAAACTTTCCTAGAACCGTGCTTCCGGACAAACCTGTGTTTTTCACAAGAGCTCCCCCTCCACTTCTCCGCCCCCCACACAGCCCCCACCCCCTCCGCCCCCCCCCCCCCCCCACCCCCGGTAGACTTTACTCGCCGTGGCTTAATGCGCGGGAAGAATTGCGCACAATTGAAATGTTCCCTCCTCTCGCTCGCTAAATCTCCGTGCCATTTACTTTGATAAATCCTTGGCCGCTTCCCCACCTGCTAACCCCGGCTGTCTCCCTCACCGTCCCGCGCGCCCGGCCTGCGTCCGCCGGTACTTTAGCGCCTGTCTGCCGACGGCTAATGGCCGTAATTGCACCGCGCTTGATGTGGCTGTCACCGCCACACCACAATCTGCGGGAATTTACCGCGGATTTACATTAAATTGCACCGCACTTTAATACGGCCCGATATTTATTGCGCCTGCCCGCTCCGGCTTAAATTGCAGCCTGTCAAAATGTATTTTGGCAAAAGGAAAGTGGGGGTGAATTTTTTTTTTTAGCGAAAGGGGAAAGGAGGCAGGGAAATAAGAAAGGCGAGAGCTCGGAGCAGCAGCAGACAGCCGATGTCTTTTGACAGGGAAAGTGCCATCAAGGCCATGATCAGTGTGTTCCGCCAAGCGGGGAAGGCTAGTTAAGCTTAATGCTAGGTTTCCATTCCTGGGATCAAGGGTTGTTCAAATTAAGTGCGCACTTTGTGAGGATTTTTTTTTATACAAATCAGGGGTGCGTGGAGATTATAAAGATTCCTGTCCACGGAGCAGAGGGTTTCACGCATTAAAAAGCGGCAGACTCTGCGTGTTAGCAACCGTCACCCCCTCACTTTACAATTCTACAGAAATTACAGCACGTGGCTCCATTCAGCGGCATTTAATTATACGGAAATATTGCCGTTTTATGATTAACGCATGAGCTTTAAAAGGCCTAGAAAATAGTATTTTCGGACTTTAATAAATCAAGCGTGACGCCATAACTCGTCGTTTTACAGCGCTCTTTTTTAAGCGCTCAAATAAAATCAATAACTTATAATTTCCCCGCCGACCGACAATGAGAAACCTTCAAAGTGTCAGAAAGTATTAAGCGGGGCGGGTGGGCGGGTGGGCGGGTGGGCGGGTGGGCGGGTGGGCGGGTGGGCGGGTGGGCGGGTGGGCGATCGGCTTGCGCCCGCTCGCCGGGCATCTCGGCGAGCGACGGTGCCTCCCGGTCGCGGCGCGGCACCAATCGTCCATCACGACACTGATCGCCCCTCGCGGCACTGATCGCGCCGGGCAGCGTGCGACTGACTGACGGATGGACGTGCTCGGCAAGGCCGCCCCGCAGGCCGACCGTTTGGGAGACTTCCTGGTCGACGCCGCCCCGTCCAAGAGCGATTGGTGCACCCCACGATGCGTAACAATGAATAATCATGACAATGAATCTTTATTCATCCAGGAAAGGACTTTTCAGGAGAATCGTCAGTGAGGACGCTTGGCTGGTTCCTTCTTAAGGAGTCTCTCGCTTCATGCGGGGAGAGCCAGGGGCACCCAGCGAGAATCCACCACACGTCCGATGGGGAAGCTTTCGAAGGTCCGCGTGAACAGGTTGACAAACCTGCTTGCTGCGCTGTCGTCTCCTGTCCAACTCTCTCAACCCCCCTAAAGCACTGGATCGCGGCCGTGCTCGCTGGCAGAACGAAACGTAAAGCGAGCGCGGTCAGCCCGAACTCGCTGGCACCCCGGCGATCGGCGGGGGGGGGGGGGGGCAGCCGGCAGCGCCATCGAGAGCCAAGCCGGCCCCGCGGGCGGGTTATACGCTGCCGCTTTAACGCGCTGGCGGGGGCGCGGAGAAGGCCGCCGGCGGGTGCGGGGTCAGCGTGGCACCCGAGCCACTGTGTGGTCGCGTCGCAGGAGGCCGCGCGCTCTGTTTGCACAACGCTGGCCCTTTGTAGTTGGTAGTTGAGTTTTTTTTCTACTTAAAAAAACCGGGCTGCGGCGCGAAGACGATGAAAAGGAACACGCGGCGGAAAAGTATTGCCGCTTTAAAGCCCTGCACTTGCGTCGGCAGCCACGGCTGCACTGCGCCACCGTCGCGCGCCGCGTCTGCCTGCCGCGCGTTAACAGCGCCAAACTTTGAACCGGCCGGTGGCTTACGCTGTCGAGTGTGCAGGCGGGGCATCTGCACCAGGGCCCAAGGGCCGGAGGGCCCCAAGCGTCGGCCTACGAAGATGGGGAGTGACTTGTTGGACAGGGGCTAGCGAAGGGGGAGTGGGGGGCGGTGGGGCGTCTCCACTGGAACCGCCGATTCACTGCCCCTGAAAAGGCAACCCTGAGATCTTTTTGACATTCAGCGAGGCTCTCACGGACAGATCAACAAGCGACGCGGCTGTTGTTCGTACGAAATATCCGCGCCACGTCGCACCGCCCGGCATGGGTCCACAACGTCGGCATCGCGACGACGTCGCGTAACGTCGCGAATCGAAGCGGTTGCCGCGCTTGAAGCGGGCGACGAGGGCCGAACGGCGGTGGCGGCAGCGCCGTGGCTTCCAGCGGCCGAAAGGGGCTCTGCCGCCGCGCGGGGGAGTAATCGACGCGGTTATCGTGCTTCGTGCGTTCGTTATTTAATTCGGGCTCGATCGAGCGTGTTCCCGTCGGAGAGAGGATTTTTGGGGAGCGGTGGTGGTGGTGGGGGGGGGGGGCACGCGGGGGGAAGTGGGGGCGGCCGGCGGTTTCGTAACGACGTTTGAAACGAGTGGTTTGGGACGGAGGGATTGAGCCGCGCGGCGTGGAGATGAAGGCGATGTGGGGGGGGGGGGTGCTTGATCTTGGGCTGAAAGAGAAGGGGTGGAAAAAAAGCGCCACGCAATAGCACTTGAGGGTGGCGCGCTGACGAGATGATATCAGCGGCTTATTTCCTAGGTCCTTGTGGGTTAAAATAGCAGCAACCTCTGAGTGGGATGTAAGGAGCGGACATCCTGTACAGCTGTGAGTGCGGGTGCTCGCTCGCGCTCGGGCGTGCGTGTGTGCGTGCGTGTGGGCTTACACGCGTGCGTGCGTGTGTGGACTCTAACGGGAGCGTGCGTGTGCGTGCGTGTGTGTGCGTGCGCGTGTGGGTGTGTGTGGGGAGTGCAGTGATGAGTGCTTTGCGCTCCTCACCTGGCAGACCCGAGTTTCATTCGCGCTCACGACCAATATCAGTGACGAATATTTGAACCGGTCCTGGGCCTCCCCTATGTTGACTCAGCCTTAAATGAATACCCGGTGCATTGTGTAAAGATCAGCACTGGGGAGACAAAGGTGGCCGGAGCTGCCCACACCACCCTTTCGTGTGCTCTCTCAGCCTTCATAAGTGCTACTCGCTTACAGGACTTGCCCCAAAAAGTCTGTTTAGGCTATACGGGGGTTCTTTGTCATTGTGTGCGCACGTGTCTGTGTGTGTGTGTGTCTGTGTGTGTGTGTGTCTGTGTGTGTGTGTAGGCGTGCGTGAGCGCACACGCGTGAGTTTGTGTGTGCGTGGGCTAATTGGGCGCATGCGTGTAAGCACGGGGTTTCTAAGTGAATCCGTTTGTGTGCGTGTGTGTGCATTGTGCGTGTAAGTGCAATGTGTACGTGACGTCAGTGTGTAACTGCATGTGCGGGTGTGCGGTTAGTGTAAGTGCACGTGTTCTGCGTGTTGTTTGTGCGAGCGCAAAATTACGTGTGCGAATGTGGCTTGCTTGAGAGCGCGCGCGTGCGTGCGTGTGATTGCGATGTGTGTGGACGCGATGTGTATGTGTGTAATTGTGACGCGTGTGTGTGTGCGCGTGAATGCATTGTGTGTGTAACTGCACGCGTGTGTGTGCGCGTGAGTGCATTGTGTACGCTTCCCAGATAACTCGCGCTTTCCTGGGTCAGCTTCCGCGATATTCCCGTAAATTTCTATTTTTACGACGCACATGTTGTCGCGTAACACACACGCGCGCGCGCAGAAAAACACAAAATCACGATCGGCGCGGTCGCTGTTTTTATTTGTATGTTATCCCCCCTCTGCATTGTTCCTCGACCGTCCGTGTCTCCACGGCTGCCCCTGGCCGCCGGCTCTCGCCAACGCCGCCGGCTCTCGCCAACGTCGCCGGTCACGACGCGTCTGCGCATCCCGTCGACGTCGCTCGCTCAAGGGTTTACGGTTGTAGGCGGAGCGGCCCACCCGTGGGTAGACTTGCCACCGTCGCGGGAGTGTGGAATTTCCGTCACTGCTTCGCGGCTGCCAGTGACGATGATCCTTCCTCCCCCGCCTCCACCCCGCTGGCTCTGAACGTCGAGGTTGTAGACTCAGACGGGGAGCAGAGAGAGAGAGGGCAGAGGGAGCCACTTGGAGCAGGAGGGAGGCTGTGAGCACGTAGACTACGCAGGCAGAAGGGAAGGGCTTGAGCTGAATTTTACTTCCCATATATATTTATATTTTTTCATACGGTAAAGTGATAATGAAATGGCACCGTGTGCTAATTGACACACGGGGGAAGGCAGTGGACATACACAAATACGTAATTGCAGCGCTCCTGCTTGCACGATCTTCCAGGTCTCCCTTGCAGCAGACATTGCGCCTCGGTGATTTCTCATTTGACTTGGGAGTAAAAAAAAAAAGGAAATTAAATTAAATTGACTCAACTCACTTGAGCAGCGCGCATGGCAACTCGTAAACGCGCGCCGCGCGCAAACGCATGCCGGCGGCCGCCGCGTTAAAGCTACGCAAAGTCATCGTAAGTCATCGGTCGCATCGCTCGTCCGACGCTCTATTTACATGAGCGGGGCGTGAGTGGAGAAGTGCTTCTGGATTAAGGCGCATCCCCCCCACTGCCCACCCCCTCCCACCGCGCCCTTCCCCCCCCCCCCCTCGCTTGTTTGTGTCTGATTGTGACATCGAGTCTCGTTTACAAACCATTTGGCGAGGCCGGAGGGAGCGCGCGGCGACTGCGGGCTGAGCCGGCTCGAGCGGGGTTAAACGCCGGGTTAGACGCGGGAATCGCGTCGCAATCTGCTGCCTCTCGCGCGGCACGGTCGTGCCGGTAATTGGATTTGGAGTCCTGACCGAAGCTTGGGTCGTCTGCCGCCCGTGTTTGTAGCCTCCCCTCCTCCCCGTAGCGCGGGCGCGTCTCTCTGCGTGCGCGGGAGACAGCCCTCCAAAAACACCTTCCTATTAAACTTGCAGTCCAAATGCGATTCAAATGACTTAAAAAATCAACTACATTTGCTACCCCACCCCCGCCCACCTCTACCGCCACGACGTGCCGGCGGTGTCTCCCGTGGACGTGCCGAGAAATAATTTCGCCGCACGCGGAGTAATGAAGTCTGGAGTTTTTGACGCTCACCTCCGCCGCTTGGCGTTGCGCAGCGGCGGCAGAGTCGGGGCTCCTCTCGTGTTGGTTTGGAGCGGAACGCCGGCGGGCTCGCGGTGCGGGCGGGCGCAGTGAGGCCGCTGCTCGAGACAGAGCGACCGCTCTTAGACGCTTGTAAAGAAAGCTGTTAATTTCAAGCGGAGGGAAGGCATGGACCGGGGGAAAAGCATTTGTTCAAAAAGCGTTTAGCACCCTTTGGGTTCATACGGGCGTAATTTCAAGTATCTTTTTTTTTTCCGCCGGGCGCCATTTGAATTGGAGAATTTACCGCGTGATGCCGGCTCGGTGTTTCGGCGTTGTCCGGGGAACGAGTCGGGGCGTCCGAGAGCCACGCTGTCAGCCCGCCGGTGCGCGCTGGTGTGCGCGCGTGTGTCCGTGCGTGAGTTCCGTGTGTGTCCGTGCGTGCGTGTGGCCTATCTGTCACGCAAACGTGGGAAATAAAAACACGCCTGGCTTATTTTCCGTTACGAGTTTATCACTGCTGCATTGATTTCTCTCCCGACGGATCCCGCCCTCTGCCTTTGTTAGGCAGGGCCATTTCCCTCCCTATTCAGCGCAGCCCACGCAGCCGATGTTCGATATTTCATTCGAGGGTGTTAATCTCATTACACGCCGTGACATTTCGCAGATATCGCATTATGGGCCGCAAATTTGGAGAATTATTGCGGCAATAACACGCGGCTCATCATTGTCGCTGGCAAGTCAAGTGAAACGGCTTATCGTGCGGCGGGAAACGGCAGGCAAGAGAGAGAGAGGGGAGAGAGGAGAGAGGGGAGAGAGGGGAGAGAAAAAAACAACGAGAGAGGGGGGGGGGGGGGAGAGAAGGAGAGAAAGAGCGCCGGGGAAAGGAAAAAGAAAGAGAGAATCGCATCGCGCTGGCGAAGGCTTTCAAATAAGCCACTGGTTATTCCATTCACGGGCCGCGCTAAGCGATTAGGCATTGAGGGCACAGAGAAGGGAGGAAAAAAGTGGATTAGCAGAAATCAAAAGGAGCTTCAGTGCCACAGCTCCCGAGTCTTTCTCAGCCGCTGGAAGGGATATCGTGGGGAGGGAAGTTCGGGGGAGGGCGAGCCAACAACAAAGCCCTTGATTTTCTTTTTCCTCTAAACTCCTAAACCTGGGCTGTGCCACCCCTTTTCCCTTACTCGGAGAAATAAAGCCCACTTGGAAGTTGCAGTTTAGCATAAGAAGACGTGGCCGTTCCTACGCTCATTAAAATGCTATTGCGGTTTGCGTGGGGGGGCGGCGGCGGTGGTGGCGGGGGTGGGGGGTGTGGAGGGGGAGGCGCGAGCGGGATTTTTGGAGCTTGGGGGGTCCTCCAACGCCCTGCGGATCACAAGTACATTTTCGGCAGCCATTCTTATGGAAATGCGGCAATTTGTAAACGATGAACTGCTCGGCGGGGGCTTGTGTTCAGGGGGCAGGCGCTAGGTAATGTGAAACTGGCTCCCCACCGCTGACGCCTATTGAGGCAGATTTCTGTGGAATTTGCTCGTATTGTCACTACGGGCGGCCTTTCTCTAAGAAGAAGAAAAAAAAACCAAACACCAAAATGGCCCGGCGTGCGTGGGCCTTTTTTTCTTTCTTTCTCCTCCTTTGCGCGGCGCTCGGCGGCGCGATAGACTCGTCGGCGCAGGCTGTGCTCGCACGCTGCCGTGGGATTTGCATGGAGATTTGCCTCGGAGGACGCTCGTCACACTTGGAGGGAGCGTTTGCGCTCGCACAGCCGAGAGACGGAGTGGCGGGGGCGAGGGGCACGCGGACCCCCCCCCCCCCGCCCGAGATTTTGTTGCGCACGTGCGCCGCAAGCTGCCGCCACTGCGTTTAAAAAAATGTCGAAAGCGGCGGAACACTCCGCGCTCGGCTCTCCCGCGCGCCGTACCGGCAGCGACGGCGGCAGCGGCCTCTCTCTCTCCCGACGGTGTGAATCGCGCGATCGGCCGGCTGGCGCTCGTTCGTAATCGGCCGTTCGATAACTCGACGCGAGCTCCTGGACGCGCCAAGCCCAGAAGAAGAAGAGAGGGTTTTTTAACGTCGTCCGTGGCGCGCAGCCCGCCGGAGGAGCGCTTTGAATGGAGGGACGAGCGGTTTACTGCGTGCGCTCGCGCGAGGGAGAGAGTTTCCGGGAGGGCTCTTAAAAGCTGCGGTGGGTGCGGGGGGGGGGGGGGCGAGGGGGTAAGGGGAGGTTGTGGGGGGCGCGGTGGGGGAACTCTGCCCGCCCGCACGCACGCATGCCGGCCGGCCGGGCGGCCTCCCTGCTGCGGCCCTGATATTTTCCGTGTGTCGGGGCCGTGTGAAGGCTGCCCCCCCCCCTCCCATCGTGCTCGCCATCAAATCTTGGTGGGGGGGGGGGGGGCCCGCACGGCGTGCGGTGCCCTCTGTGTCGTGTTCCTCATGCAGCCCGCGTCTGATGGCTGCGGAGAAACATGCTCGGCGCGTTGGGACCATTTCATGCGTGGCATTATCATTCTAATGAGGAGCCATAGATCAGGACTAACTACGCTGGAGGCAGGCGGGGGCGATGGGGGCGCGGGGGGGGGGGGGGGTGCGGGAGCTGGTGGGGGGACGGGGGGGGGGGGGCTCGTGGCTGCTTGTGTAATGAGAACCGTGTGGCATTCGGGCTTAATTTGCGCGCGATAATTAACACGCTGGATCGGATGGGGGTGGGGGGGGGGGCAAAAAAAGAAAATGAATTTTAAAACAGCGTAGCCTGGCCACGGCGGCCATGAATTACGGCCGCTGTTTTATCTCCGGGATATTTGTTAAATTAATAAATAAGTAAATAAGTGCCATTAAAAATGTTGTTGTGCGCGGGTTTTTTTTTTAGTGTCTGTGTGTTTCGCGGACTGTCAGGAATGAGAGAGCCGGCGTCCTAGCGCATGGTTCACATTTAGCATGCACCTTAGCTTTCATGCGCTCAATTAGGCTCCGCCGTGCCATCTGTGCCCCGCGCAACCCATTAGGAGCGATCGCAGAGCCGCCAATGCCGCCACCGCCGCCGCCGCTTTGAACCGGAGCCGCGCGTCCGTGTCCGGTGGCCTCGGCGCTCTAATTCGGCGAGATCATCATTATCGCGGCAGACGGATCTTAATGACGCGCCGCTATTCCAGCCCCCCCACCTCCATCCCCCCCCCACCTTCCGCCCCTCCCCGTGGCCGCGTGCTTAATTGCCAAGTCTGTTCCAATCCCCTGGTGAGCCTGCGCGCTCTCCAAACCGATACAGTTGTTGACATATGTGCGCCCGTGCCACTTAATCAGGCAATATGGTGCGAGGTATATACTCGGACCTGTTGAAATATTCCCAGAGAGCTCTTACAGCCATAATAACTGTCCCAGTACGGCACCACCGGGAACCCTTAGCGGAGGAATTATAAATATTAGTTTACGGTAATATTATTTATGGGCTGTAGGGAAGACAGCTTAATGGGGGCAGAAAAAAAAAAAAATCTCAGCTACGCACCGCGAATATCTGACGCTCCCGGCCGCGAGAGTCGGGCAGCGTCGAGCGCAGGAGCTGCCAGGGCCGGGGGCGTGCGGTGCCCCCGCACGGGTTCCTACGAAACCACGCGACAGTTTTACGCATTGCCGCCGCTCGCTCAGAAGAGTACCGGGCAGTTTTGTGTTTCAGAAAAGAAATTGTAAACTCTGATGGTGTCGGCGGGTCGGTAATACGTTTTTTTTTTGACTGCTGAATCGGTGTGATTTTTATTTTATTTTGCGTGACGCTGAACCGGTTAGTTTATTTGAAATGTGTTTTGCTGGGATTTTAACTGCGACCCTGCTATTGCAGCCTACGACATGAATGGCGAAGCTGCTTTTAATGCATTAATTCACTGACGAAGGCAAAAAAAAAATGACATCTTTATAACCCGCGGTACAAATAAACATATTTGTGTGATCGAAGGTTGACAAAAAAAAAGGGAAAAAAATGCAATGCCCATAAAAGTTTAATCCTAGCCCAGTTATAGGAGCGACTCAAGAGCAGCCCACATAAATATTGACACAGTTGCACGATCCAACGAGGGAAAACATTGCTGGACCCTAACCGCGGACCGAGAAGTAACTTCTTGGCTGGAAACAGCGCTTGTGTGCGAGCGCCCTCGCCTCTCCCCGTCTCCCGGCCACGTGACGGCAGCATCAACCAGCAGTCGTAGCCGTGGGGAGCCGTCACATCTCGCCACGCTGCGGCCGCTTCTTCCCCCCCCCTCTCCCTGCCGGCCTCCGGAGGTTTTCCGCCAGAGAACGCGGCGTTGTAACGAGCGAGGTTGGCGGCGGCGTGGCCCGCGTGAGCGTTGTGGAGACCGTGGCGCCACGCGGCCGGAGGAACGTCGTGGTCGTGGTCGTCGTCGTAATAGTCGTCGTCGTCGTGGTCGTAGTAGTCGTGGTCGTAGTCGTCGTCGTCATTGCGAGAACGCGCGCCGTCGCGGCCGGGATGGAAACCGTGGCCCGGAGCCGACGTGTGGCGCGGATCGCTTCAAATTCCGCCCCCGGTGTCTTGGCGACGGTCGGACGTCATGGAAACCCCGGGAGGCGCCGCGCGAGCTCGCGGAGTTGCGCACGTTGGCGGTGGGCACGAGCAATCGAATGGCCCCCAAACAATGGCACCCAAACAATGGCCCCCGCGCGCGTTCTCCGAGCACGGGAGGGCGGCGGTGGGAATGCGCCCCCCCCCCCCCCATCCTGCCGACCGCCGAGTTTCCCGGGAGGCACGAATCTATGCGCGCCTCACCGCCCCCGACCTTTTTGCGAGGCCCCCACCGGCCGCAATCCCTCTTCACCCGCCCGAGCCTCCCACTTGGCCCCCAGCTGGCAAGATCGCCATCTGCGGTGCTGCTTGATAAATCGCCCTGCCGGCTGCACTGTTTGCTGACTTTGGAGCGGCTGGGTCGTTCGGTATCTGAGATCTGTTTAAACAGATTTACGGCACGGGCGGCCGGGCCTGGCGTTGGCTTCTGTGGTCCAGAGCCTGAAACAAATTGTCGGCACGGTGCGGTCGTAATTTAAAATTTGGGTCGGCGGTGTTTAAACGCTTTGCGCCCATCGCTTGGCCCCCCTTGTGACCGCTGAATGCGATTCGGCGAGGATGATTTGAGTTACACTTCGGCAAACTTTGCACCAGACAAATGTAAAGCCACCCTACTGCCCCCCCCCCACACCTCACACCACACACCACACCGTAACGTCTTCTACAACCGTTAGCACAAGGTTATAGGGACAAAATATTCCTTGTTTTTTTATTTCAAGGGATGTGAAGGGTATTTACTCTTGTCGGTCGAACCTCGTTAAACTTTCTTAACGCGTATTTAGTTTTGTGGAGCTGATAAGTCGTAAAGGTGTGCTGCTGCGTCGTGCGCCCAGCACCGTTTAGTAAAACCTTTATAAAAGGACAAAGCCACCTTTCAGAGAAAGCGTCCGGGACCTTTCTCCCCAACGCTAAATCTGAGCGCACCCGCGGCAATAAAAGCATCCTTCTTGGCATTCATAACCGAA